TATCAGAATGTAGTGATTGGATGGCCCTTAGTAGCTGGCCATTTATCCCCTATGCTCAGAGGCGGTAATATGACGACAGAAATGCTGTCTATTATACGCGTGATATTTCATTATGACAAGCAAGATTGCTGCTCATTTGCTCTGCGTTGAATGGTGATCGAACATTTGTCAAATTTCTCTAAAACGTACAAATAAAAATGTTATGACATAGCATAAACCTCAAAGTATGCACTGAAACGGTCTTAGGCACCACCCCCTTTCACCGCTACAGCTCTTCTAAGCAACTTAGGCGATGCGATATCATGGAATATCCTGCTATGATAGGAATCCTTTCTCATACAGAAGACCCCTAGCTTGCGCGAGGTCCGGCATATTGTCTTAGCGCCATATTTCTACATGGACCGTTGTATCTTTTGAAAACAGGTTTCTCTGGCCAGGATGTATCAGTACGGGATTGTCATCAAATTTATACGAGGTGCAAACTGTTTTAATTTATTTTGAGTAGGAATTACGCATAGACACATGTGTAACTTTCGGAATAACATAACGAGCTCGCGGTAGCTTTGTACTTCCGGAGAAAGTCCCTGGGCATCAGCTTGAGAGAATCGATACTTAACGTATTTCGTTACGAATGCGTCTTACAACAAAAGATCACGATTACTTCATGGCTACCCGTAAGATAGTCGGACGGATTGTCGAAGCAAAGGAACGTTACTCGGATAGCACAGGGCTTATGTGCGGTTGTGCCTAGTTTAAACTCCGCCGTTGCGGGTCCCAAGCCCCGATGAGAAAGGAGGAGGGTTGGAGATCGTGGCAAGTCTCCTTAAAATTTTGCCACCAGCCACTCGTCGCATTACCGCCATCGAAAATTATACCGGCTCGGACGTCGCCCGGGTTACCAAGAGCCGCGCAGACTGTTGAAGGACTGAGGCAGACTGCGAAAAGTCGGCGATCAGAACCTGCTCATGCCCTTTGCCAGCCAGGGGCTTAGCAGCACTCGACGGCTGACGAAGACCGACGGAGCGACGACGAAGATACCAGTCAGCAACGGAGTCACTACCCATTCTGAACGGAGGAGGCTGACAGCGCGATGCCATTACATCACGTCAGAAAAGGCTCCATGAAAACGACACCACCAGTGGGAGCTTAAAGTCGGAAATTGGAACATATCC